ATTATCTAAGTTGTTTGACCTCTTCTAGGAAGACGAGCTTTTATACTCTGGACTGCCCCGTGGGGATCGCAGAGCTAAGCTATTCCGGAAGGTCCTGATGGACCGCGGTTTCGAAATATTTTGTTATGTGGATGTACAAGCCTTCTTGTTATAATTTTAATTTTTTACTTCACTTTTTTTTTGCACTAACACTTTACCACTACCACTTTATCACATCACTTTCCATAACCTGCAGCAATCATTCGGAAAGGATTCCCACAGTGAAGGGGAAGTAGTCCCACGGTTAAGCAGGCTCCTCACAAGGACCCACGTTTCAGTGGGTCCCTGCTCGGGCGCCACTTAATGAACACGCGGATGCGTGCCCGAAAAAATTAAAATTGGGGCCGCCCCGCGGCCCCAGGTTTCTCTAAGGATAGAAATGAAATACAAGATTAGCAATGCAAGTGTATATTTACCATTGAGCTCCCAAATAATAATGAATTACAAATATTACTTAAAGCTATCGCTAAGTATCTAAACGGCCTGAATTAATTGATTAGTTGCTGACGCTGCGCTTCCCACTATTTGCATTTTGGTTGCATAAAACCAATTGGTATCGCTTACGTTGCAGGTCAATTACCTGCACTGGCTATGCGCGTGTTTGGCGAAGTGCGGCGTCAGTACATTCACGTTAGTAAGTGTGTTGGCCCCCTTGTTAACTTCTATCTCGATTAGTTTTGGCTGTTAAAAACAACCGTTATGTGAACAAAGTTATAATACCCTTGTGCACAAGTGCGCTCGAGTATAAAAATAAGCAATTTAGTTAGTGCACTTTTTCACATCTCTAAAAACCGAGATTTGGCTATACACTTATGCGTTTTTTTTTTATGCGGACTTGAATTTATGCGGGTTTTCGAACCATTTGTTTGCTGTAGCGTTTTTGCTTTTTTGAGAGTGTAAGAGACAATGCTTTTGATAATTAATTTGTATTTGTATTCTTACATAATGCATGTATTTTGGTATTTTTTTTTGTTTTTGGGTAAAATACAGATATAATTTTATTTATAAACTGACTTCAAAAAAAGGAGAAGGTTATCAATTCGTTGGAATATTTTTGTATGTTACCGCATAACTTTGGGCCACGTCAACCGATTTTGATCATTTTCTATCGGAAAGGTAGTGTGTCACAGGTGGTCCCGCACTAACTTAGTTTAGGTCCGAGCAATGGATCATGAAAAAATGGACGGTACACCTAAATTTTTATAATTTTTTGCTTAAAAATTATTTCAATAATGTTCAGTTTTACATAGAATAATAAGTGTTGACGTGAATAAATAAATTGTTTTGTTTTGATTAATATTGCCTAACTGGATTTTTTTAAGCGGTTTTTGAGAACTTTTTACATGGAGTATCTGAATTTATACGGTTTTTGAAAATGCTGGAACGCATCCCCTCTTTTTGTATGAAAGTAAAGATTTTTGTTTGTGGATTTTTTTACGTGGCTTTCTGAGGAACGCATATACGCATAAAAAAAGATCTAAGTGTATTTAAAAAAATATTATAGTTTATTATATTTTGACGTCATATTCAGATTCAGAGGAAAATTTTACATAAGAAGCGATGGTGTAGTGCCACAGATGAGATTTTTTTGTAAACTAGTGTAATTATCAATTAGATGAATAGTTTTCTCTAATTTCTTTTATGTCACACCACTTGCATCGCTTCCAATAATACTATTTTTATTTATTTCATGCAATATTATTTAGTTAAGCAGGACTAATAAGTCGTGGAGTAGGCCTACCGGGGATAACACGTTAAACCTAGAAACAAGTACAGTGTAAATTGTGCATATTATGGAGAACACCATTTTTTTTATACCCGAGCGCACTTGTGCACAAGGGTATTATAACTTTGTTCACATAACGATTGTTTGTAACAGGCAAAACGAATAAAGATATATATAGACAAATGTATACATAAATGATCATAATGAAAAGGGAAAAGATTAAGCGGTGACTGTCTGTTCGTCCATCCGTCCGTCCGTCCGTCTGTGCACACGATAACTCGATTAAAAAATTTAGATATCTTAACGAAACTTGGTACGTGCACTTCTTTCGGGCGTAGGACGGGTGGTATTGAAAATGGGAAAAATTGGACAATAATCACGCCTACCTCCCATATAACGGTAGTTTTCAGAAATACGAGAACTGCGATATTTTAGTAACTACTGAAGATAATTCACTCAAAATTGACATTCACAATAATGTTTAGACCCAAAATAAGAATATTATGAATTTTTGGAAAATGGGCGTAGCCACGTCCACTTATGGTTACATGTGTATATCTTGGTAACCGCTGCACCAATTTCTTCCAAACTTGGCACAGTTGTTGGCCTTCGTACTGCATTTAAATGGCCGAAAATTTTTAAAATCGGACAATAACCACACCCACATCCCATGTAACGGTAATTTGGAGAAATACGAAATCTTCGATAAATCAGTAAATACTGATGCTAAGTTATTCAAAGTTGTTGCCTGCAACAATTCTTTACCAAGAAATACGTTTATGATGAAATTTTGAATAATGAAAGTGGCGCCGTCCACTTATGATCACATATACGTATCTCGGTAACCGTTCTACCAATTAGTACCAAACTCGGTATAGTTATTGAGCTTGCCACATAAAAGCAAAACATTGAAAATTGTTGAAATCGAACTAAAATTACGGCCGCTTTTCATATAACGGCAAATTTCAGAAATGCTTGAAACTTCAATATTTCGAAATTTACGGACGCTTATTTACTCAAAATGTATACACCCCGGCTTACCATGTAGCGGTAGCTTTCGGAAAGGTGAAAAACATATATTTAATATTTGCGCCGGGTTTTTAATGTTCGACTCCGCACGAACTTAGACTTTTTTACTTGTTTTGAATCGCTATATCTCAGAAATGGTAATTCTTAGGAAGGAAAATGTTATACCAGTTTTTACAGATAATTGCATAATTTACACTAAGATATACATTTGTCCCAACTAGAAGTCTCAAGTAAATTGCAGACTTTCGTGAACTAGATATTCATTTCGCCATATCCAACTATGCCACTTGGTCGCTATAACCAATTCTTGGTAATTATATCTAAATCTTTTCCTGGGTGTTTTGCGGTGCTCCATGAGAAAAGCAAATGGCAGAAATAGGGATGGACCGATACGAGTAAATAAAAGTACATACTCGATACTATTCGTTCAATACAAAGTACTTTTAATATCGATACTTTTGAACTAAGTACTGAGTAGGTAACGAAAACCAAATACTCGTATCGAAGCCCGATACTAAGGTGAATTTGGCTTCTGCAATATTTCTTCCACTGCTTCACCAAAATCGATATAATGCGCCCAACTGTTCGACTGGAAGAGTAAACTGGATGAATCTTCAGTACAGACGTTTCAATGCGATGTTAAACTCACTGAGATCCTATACTTTTTCGGTATCGATACGTTCTTTAGATACTACTTCCAAGTAAAAGTATCGGGACCTGTATGGTATCGTTTCATCCCTAGGCAGAAATACACTCGGAGGTTTGGCATTGCCTGCCCAGGGGCGACATCTATCGGAAAACTCTGTTTTTATTTTTTATGTTTCGAAGTTGGTCGGAAAACGGGCTTGAACAAGGCCCCACGGAATGATAGCGCGCATTGCTAACCACTACACTACCATAATTATTTTTTGCCAAAACCTAACAATGCATGGGTAATTAATGGACACGCATGCATACATATGTAATTTATTGAATTCCTAACTTGAATTATTATTTAGAAATTTCGCATAATACATATCGATGGTCATTGCAATTTTATTAGCAATTTTTTGAGCTTTCAATGTTTGACCATCTTATGCGGAAGTACAAAAATATGTGTCGGTCTATTTTGCATCCAGAGCACAAAACATATCTGAGGTAAATCTATTTTCCAGTTGTTCATATGATATGTAATCAAGAATGATAGAATACAAGATTGCGCCAATCGAGCTGAGAGCAACTGGCCGTGACGTCAAAATATACCAGAATGATAGAGCAAGACGAGCTCGACAAGAAAAAGAGGAAGCATCGAACAAAAGGCAGTGTTGCCAAGTTTTGAATTTGAAGAAGCACACAATTTTTATTGGTGTATTTTATGGACTTTATACGAATACATAATTTTATTGTAAGGATGCCGATAAAAATCAATGTTTCTTGCACAACGGTCGATTTCTTCTGGCTTGATTGAAGGTGCTGCACATATTTCGTTGCCACTTATGATTGTCACTGTGCCATGATTTTGTTTAAATTTTTGTAAAATTGCTTACCACACTTACGATTGCTATAAATTTTGCTTCCATTTATTTAAGATTTTCTAGTTTGATGTCTTCAAACTAAAAACAAAAGCACCAAAAACGCACCAAGCACAAAACTCAAAAATTTTGCCGTTTTGAATACCCACTAAATTTGGTGCGAATAGCATCAAGTTAGCAACAGTGAATGTAAACAAAAGTATATTATGACGTCAGCGATTGGGAGGATGCTGTCAAATCGACTAAGAGAGGGTTAGCGGTCCGCGAATGGCGCGACCTTTATTTCTGGATCGTGATATGTAATGATCCATAGACTGCTTTTACACAGTTCAAGTATTGAATTCAATTCTGCTCGCATGTGGAAGAGAGGGGGTGAGAAGAAAAGGGACGAGTACACATGCGTCTGTACCGTCAAGTCGTTTCAACTTTCTTGCTTTGATTTTGGCATTTTCGTTGCTTCCCATTTAAAGAACCAAAAACTTGAATTCAACAGAATTGAAACGTGTAAAAGCGAATAGAAAACACAAAAGAGAATGAGCAAGAATTGCTTTCAAGGACTTGAATCATGTAAATGGGGTGATATGCAATAATATTTTTTAATTTGAATTTATTATTCCTAGTATTTTACAATGGAAAACTATAACTTTGTATGCAGCAATAGAAATCAATGTATTACTCTCTTCTATTCTCCACAGCACCATTAACAGCACATTTGCAGCCTCAAGTGCAAACCGTCGATGTTGATAAAGATGCGCAATTTCAGTGCATTGTCTCCGGACATCCTGTGCATGACGTAAATTGGCTACACGACGGAAAACCAATATTGCGCGATAATCGCGTTGAGGTGAGTCGCTATGAACCCTGAACTATTTGGACTAGATTAAATACTAGTACAAGTATTTTCTAACCATCACTGGGAACCTAGAGGCCCGAAGGTATGGGGAAAATATTTTTACAATAACGTTGGAATGTCATTGCACATGACCACTTTTGGTCCATCGCCGCATAACTAGACCATCTGGACCGAGCGCACAACCAAAGAGTCAGACTTCAGGGTTCAAAAAATTTTCTCTTTTAATCCTAGTTTTTTTTATTTATTTATTTACTTTTATATTCAACGAAGAAGATCTTTTGTTATCCAGGTGAAAAACGTTTGGGCAGGATGCATGGGCGTACGCAGGTACGGGTTAGGTATGCTTAGCACTCACGGAGGCATTCAACTAAGGTAACTAACAAATTTATGTTTTAACCAGCGCTGCCGAAAGCTTTCGCTGGATAATCGTCTCTTTACCCTAAAAAAAAACCGTAATTTCAGCCAAAATATTGTGAACTTTTTGTTTATTGTATTTTTTAACAAAATAAAAAATACAAAAGAATTACATACAATAAATCGTATGCAAACAACTAAGCAATTGCGCTTTCTTAAAATTGCGTACCTTAAACTTAAATTTATTTGATAAAATTGATTAAAATATGACCACACATTACAAAACCAAATGGAAACCACATTGCATATGAATTAATAAAAGTGGATTTGCAATTGTTAACGACAATTTAAAATTACAATTTAAAACACAGCTGCTTCTAAATAGTTGAACTCCACTGGTTTGAATTTTTTGAAGATTTTGATCCAGTTTTAAAGTAGGGTCTTCACACCGAACTTGGTACTCGGTGTTCGGTAATTTTTCCCAATGTATTTTGTTTGCATAAATTATTTTATTATCGATGTACCGGTTACCGAATTATCGTGAAGGAAGCTTGATAATTTTTCTGGTAGGTGGTAAACTGCAATCAGCTGTTCCATATTTATTCAATTTTAAATCCGCCCGCTGCCGAAAGGCATAACGCATATGAGTAAGTGAAATAGACTTGTGGAAACATAGAATAAAATCGACTGACCAGTTTTTGGGAAAATGCCCGAAATGTATATTTTCAGCGGTAACGTTATGACATATTTATAGTTTATAATTATAATAGATAGCGTTAGATAGTTTGTTTGAAGACCCTTCTACTGATATTCACATCAATGACATGGACTGAGTACAATCTTTGTGTTTTGCTGCAGCTGCTTCAAAAGATTGATTCTTGGACTAAGGACCCCTGTGTTTAAAGGCTGGTTGTGTAAACACTTGAGGTTACGAAGCTTGCTGTAATATTTGCAATTGCACATAAAAAGCCAAATCAGGAAGAGCTGTGCAGCATAAAACGGCAGAAAATAGTAGGCGACTTTTTTAAGGCTTCAATGAAAATGTAATGAATGCAAAAAAGACTGAGATATTAGGTCCATTCAATAACTTTTCCAGTAAGTACTTGCAGCGAGAGCATAAAAGAAAAATAGAGAGTAAAACTGAGAGCAAGAGAAAATTTTCAGAAAAAGTTATTGAGCGCAAAACTAATAAAAACTTGCAACTTGAGCCATTTTGACACTTTCTGACGGTTAAGTTCTGGCGTGCAATTTTCTTTTTAATTGGGAATAGTTCCCATCGTCATAAAAATAAAAAAATATACAATAGATTTAAAATTTTCATCCATATTTTCATTTCACTAATTACGGTTCGCTGTGGTGTAGTGGTAAGCAGTGCGCGTTTTTTCTTAACACCGGTCCTCCCTCGGCAGGCAATGGCAAACCTCCGAGTGCATTTCTGCCATGAAAAACAGCTTCTCATAAAAATACAATCGCCATTCCGAGTCGGCGTAAAACTGTAGGTCCCTCCGCTTTGTGTGACAACATCAAGGCGCACGCCACAAATCGGAGGAGAAGCTCGGCCAAACACTAACATATGTGTAAGCGCCAATCTGTTATTAATACTATAATTATGTTTCATCAAATCATCCTCGTAAACAGTTGTTTACATTTGAATTTGAAACATAACCTTACTTTCTGTCTCCTGCAAATTCCTGCTAGTAAAATTTGTACTTGCTAGAATTTGCAGCTCGCTCGGGTTGTTGCGCCCTCGAATTCGCTCCCTCTTGCAAATATTTTGGGTTATTGAATGCATTTCCAGTAAAAACTTGCAAGTACTAGCAACAATTCGTAAAAATTTTTTGACATTGAATGGACCTATTGCTATGCTCCTTCTTAGCAGAACGTAATTTAGCATTTTCGACAACTGAGCCCCTAATCAAATCTCAACAAGAACAAACAAGAAAAAAATATATTAAAAATCAACGCCAATCCAGCGGAGCCGCTGTATTTTAATTCGCTGCACTATGTCCATGTCGTTGTAAAGCTCATACAGCTCATCGTTCCATCGTCTGCGGTACTCGCCGTCGCCAATCTTCCGCAAAATCTTTCTCTCAAACACTCCAGGAGCCGCCTCATCGGATGTTGTCATTGTCCATGATTCTGCGCCATATACCATCACGGGCATGATGAGTGACTTAAAGAGCGTGGTTTTCGTACGTGCAGTAGCGAAAGCGCTGGCTGTTTGTTGTGATTGCAGCTTTTCGACGTTAAGCTTTCCTTGCATATTTGGGCACACATTTTTTCCTGCACAGATGTTTGGGCCTCGGGAGTGTGCGTACGTCTAAAATACTGGAAGCGTGCCTTCCGTCTATCACAACATGATCGATTTGGTTTCTCGTTTTTCGATCCGAAGACAGCCACTTATCTTGATGGGTATTTTTATGCTTGAACCTAGTACTGCATATTATCATATTTTGGGCCCCGGCGAAGTCGATCAGCCTCAATCCTTTGTCGGACGTTTCGTCGTGGAGACCGAATTTTTCGACGGTGGTTCCAAAGATCCCTTCCTTGCCCACCCTGGCATTGAAGTCGACAAGCACGATTTTCATATCATGACGGGGACAGCGCTCGTACGTGCGCTCCAAGCGCTCATAGAAGAGATCCTTGGATGCCTCATCTTTCTCTTTCGTCGGGGCATGGGCGCAGATGAGCGAGATGTTGAAGAATCTCGCTTTGATGCGGATTGTGGCTAAACGCTCGTCCACCGGGGCGAACGACAGTACTCGACGACGGAGTCTCTCTCCCACCACAAATCCAACTTCGAATTTGCGCTCCTTTACATGGCAGCTGTAGTAGACGTCGCAAGGCCCCAGACATTGCTTGCCTTGCCCCGTCCAACGCATTTCTTGGATGGCGGTGATGTCAGCTTTTGTCCTTCCGAGGACATCAACCAGCCGTGCAGAGGTACCTTAAACGTTTGCCGTGGTTGTCATCATAATTGGGTCTCATCCGAGGCTTTGCCGCAGACACCCGCTTGCAGCCGCACCTACTGGTGAACAGACGCTGCAGACTTCAGTGAGCCCTTAAACCAAATAAGTCGGAGTGGCCCCACCAAAGCTCCCTCTCTTTCTGCCGTGACCCAGGGTGCACTCGGATTGATTACAGCAGGGATGGGCACATTTTTGGCTCTTGAAGCAGTCAAAGAGCCAGCAAGTGTTACACAAGAGGTAAAGCAGTTCTCAAGGTGAAGAGGGTGGTAAAAATACATTACAATCATCATACATCCCCACTTTCATGATCTTCGTCGCACAGCAGCTGCGGAAATACTAAATGTCTGAATATGCATACTTCGCACAACCATTTGTACCAGTGCAATAAAAATGTAACTTAAGAAAATGTGAAGCAAAATCTAAACTCAACAGATCCCTAAGTTTTTAACAGTTCTGCTAATTTCTGGGTAATGGAATACATACAAAGTACATACGAAATTACAGTTTGAAGTTTATGCGAAGTTGTGCGAAGTTATGCGAAGTATGCATAATCAGATCATAACAGTGAACAGCAATCTCAGCATCTCTTAAAAACGAAAATAATTATCATACATGAGCCTTGATGGACACTACCACAAACAAGCACGAGCTAAAAGTGAGCAAGCGTTAGTGTGCCTAATTCAGTGTCATCCTCAGGGTTGCCTCAAAACTTTAATTTTTTACCAAAACTCTAAAATATACCAAACTCAGAAATTTTTTTTTCATTTTTATGTAGATAATTTCTTTTGGCGGCGATATTGATGCGCCTAAAAGACGCAGCGATTTCTATTCTCAAGTTACATACCTGATGACAGTACGAATGGCAATTATAATAGGGAGGTTTTAGTTTTTTAAACTATAATTTTATTGATAGTCCAGTTAAAAGTATGAAATTTTAGCATAATCATACAAATGTTTTAAATAAGATTTATCAGTATGTACTTTCGATTACATTGTACACTTGTATGTTTATATGCTTTATTTCCGCACTGCAGGGTATGTACGAGTATATATGGATACTAGCAAATGCCCGCTTGCTTCGCGGCGCCTCATAAGATCTTTTGCGTTGGCCAATTCAAAAATAGCGTTAAAAATGTTTAGTTTAAATTGAAACGACTAAAAAACGGAATCCTCCTCACACATATGCCAAGAATAGTAACGCTGTGATTCCATATGGAATACTAATGCCTTTCGATGTAATGCGTTTTACCTATCGTCTTATTTCCACCTGTGTGATCTCTGCCAAGCGTACGTAATATTCTTCTATGATCCTGAAACTTCAGCATTGGTCCGGTATACCATGTAAGCCAATAAAAGTCCTTATACGGAAACTCAAGAGCACAGATGAGTGTTTTCAATTATAGGACGGCCAAAAATCCTCGCTGCCCCACAGGATGAAAAGTTTCCGCGTACATTGGCTACATGAGTCGTGTGATCTCATGAATATCGTTCAAATTTAGCCATGTGTTCCTTCTTGGACAGATGTGGTCGAATCTTTCTTTGTCAATTCGCCACTTTTACAATTCGTCTTAATATTTATGAATTGGTTTCTTTTAGTCTTGCTGCTGTAATAACGGTCGCCTCGAGCAACTTCGTCAATCGGAGGTAGAGCAAGATCACGCTTACACAGTCTTACGGGCTTTATATGCATACTTAAACGCATCCTTGATTTAGCCATCTGAAAAGTAAATTCGTCTAAGAAAAATATAGGGCCAAAGCAGAACAAACCCCGCGGGGGTTTCTATATATTTCGGGTGCAGCGCTTTCCGATGGGTCCCTTTTCTGCAAAACCTTTGCTTGTCATGAAATGAATACGAATTATGAATTGCAATCAGATTTTATAAAAAATACTGATTTTCTAAATACCTAAGCTCCAGCGGTCACGCTACGAAT